CTCGCCCCCATCCAAGTTAAGCGCCCCTCTCTCGCCCCCCTCCAAGTTAAACGCCCCATTTACCCAATATGCGCACAGAAAATAAAATAACTGCACGCAATATTTTATTCATAACGGACAGACATCACATACTGCCATAATAATCTCTAATAATTTATGCTACATAGCCAACAAATAGCGCATATATCACATACTGTCATCCCAACACATGATACAGCTACATAATCTGCCATATCAACATATGCGCCATATAATATTTATCACGTAACGTCAATTAGTTGCATGACTGTAGTTATATAGTGTATATATAATATTTAGTGCAACAGGATCTGACTTGTGAATACAGTATACATGAAGTTTGTACGATGGCTAGTATGCAGGCTACATCGAAAGCAAAGGGTATAATTGTCGATGTTGACGCAACACCCACGAGAATAACCCCCAAACGAGAAGCGAAGTCTAAAAATCCGTACTGTAAGAAGTATGATGATGATCAAGCCGTAAACGGAAGTTGTCTGGCCACAACAGCGACCGATCAAGCAAAACTCTTATCCTTGGAGGTAAGGACCCAAAGGTTAGGAGGAAAGGGGTTTACACAAAGGTAAGAAGGAAAAGTAAAAGCCAAAGGGTTTGCCTAATATACCCTATGAAAAAAGAGTTTATGCGCACAGGCATGAGATAAAGACAGGTACCCTACTTTTACTATTCGATAGGAAACTGTACCGTGTTCAAAATGTGAAGCAGGATGGCAATTTTCAGAAGCTGTATACGAGCATCCCGAATTAAAGAACATGAATATACTAAACCATATGGAACTGAGGGAAAACGTGGCGACGAGTGGCAACAATCTATTTGCTAAATTGCGTAAGTTGTATATATATTTATATTGTATACTTGCATATATATGTATGTTATACACTTGACTTATGCGTTCCACTCTCGCCTCCCGCTGGCTCAAATAGCAATTTACGCACCGCTGCGCACACGTGCATGCTTAGATGTAATTTTATGCACACGGATAAAGCACGCGCGTGTAAATTTAGCGGGTTCCTAATAGTAGTCGCGCATATAACGTATTTTATATACGTATTCCCGAATTAACGTTTATAATTATAATACTGGAATACGTTTAACGTTATGGACATGATAAAAGAATTGAGATATTCAAGATTCTGAACATGTGATAGTACTCAGTAGAGTATGGGACTCTACTGTGGACAATTAGGTGGTTTTCTAAATTTAGATTGGTTTTTTCCCTCTGAAATTTAGAATGATACAATTCTGACACCTGAAAATGACACGTAGGGAATCTCTAATTAATGGGAGTACCATGAGAGAGGGTCTCAGGCATGAAATAGTTGTTGGTATAAACCTGTGGTATAATTCGAAAATGATCTCAGAGCAAGATATTCCACTGAGAAAAGGACAGGATCAGAGTTGTTAGAATTTAGGACAACCTGGTTTTGATTCCTCCTAGCCAGCCAACTAGATGTGTCCGTATATGCCTAAATGGAATGGGAAGCTAGGTATCAAGTGATGGGGTTTAGGTGCAGATACATACTGCACCAGCTTGGTGTTTTGCAGATACATACTGCTACCAGTTTGGTGTTTATATTTTCTATTTTATTCTTAAGTTGGACTTAGAGATATTTTATTGGTTATTTTGAGTAGATATTTATTTCGAGGCGTGAAATGTAAAATATGCGTCCAATAAAATGATATCTAGTCTTAGTAACTAAAACATAAATAAATCTAGACCGAAATAGTGAGTGATTAGAGCAGAGCATATAGACAATAGTCTCAGTCTAAAATCCCCTAATCGTTTGCTCACTACCAAGGGCTGAAGCTAAACTTATTTTAACATTTTGCATTTTAACGTTTTAGCGTATGGTATCGTATAGTCAGCCTAGAGAAGACCGACTTTTACATACTTTTACGTTTATAATACGCTATCGATATTATGACAAAAGGAAACTTTACTGAAGGCGATGAAAAGCTGAAAACACCCCCCGGCATCATCAGTGGACTCTGACGTAACAGAGATCACACCGAGACAAACAGTACCAATTCTGACTAAACAAAAACGTAAGAAGTTGGCTGACTCGAGTTTAGGTCCATACGGAGGTAATGTGATTACAGAGCCACAGAACCCACCTGCAAAGAAGGCGAGATCCCGAAAGGGAAAAGCCGAGAAAACGCATTCGTCGGACAGCTCAACTTCAGGGGAAGTCCGACATGCACTGGAATCCGATGTACCATTTCCATCAGTGGATACGCGTAAGGCAAGTAGGCGAGATTCTTCTTATCACATGATAGCAGGGGATAGGAGAGCCTTCCTGAAGAACTATCAACCAATGGTTCATGATTTGAGATCTACTAAGCAG